CTGTGTTTTTCTTGCTATGTTACAATGTTGTTAATTTTTATTCATTTCAAGTATTTTTGTATTGATTTTGATAATTTTTGTTACTCTAAAAAGGTTTTTTTCTTTAAGTACCCCATTTTACTCCTGTTTCCCCTACAACTAATAAAGGAGTCACAAATCACTTCTTCTTGGTATTCTCATGCAGTAATTCCTTTTCAAGTTGCGATATTAAGTGCTTGGATATAATCATCAAATAGTTCACCTGATTTTTGTAGACATGTTATTATTATTATTAAATGCTGTAACTGGTATGAACCAGTGAGTGTGTTATTAGCACACTATGACAGCTGATTTACCTGACTGCTGCTCATCCAGCAATCAAGACCGGCTTTAAAACTGTTAACTGTTTCTGAATTAACCAAATCGTTCGGCAAGCTATTCCATAAATTGGCTGATCTGTTAAAGAAAAAGTTTTTTTGATGAGCTTGCTTAATGATTTCTTTTATATATTTAAACCGGTGACCTCTTGTTTGAGTTTGTTGAAAATTAAACTTTCCTTTTGTTTCTAATTTGTTGAAACCGTTGAAGATCTTAAAAAGTTGAATCATGTCTCCTCTCTTTCTTCTATTTGTTAACGTAGTTAAGTCAAGAGCTTTTAGACGATTCTCATAGTTGATTTTCTTGGTATTAGTCGAATTGCACGATGTTGAACTCTTTCCAGTAAGTCAATTTCACCCTTCTGATTTGGTGAACAAACGGGTACTGCAAATTCTTATAGTGGCCTGATAAAAGATACATAAAGTGATCTCAGTAGTCTAATATCTAAACGAACAAAGCATTTTCTAATCATACTTAACATTTGATTAGCTTTGCCTACGCATGATATCACTTGATTTTTCCATTTTAGGTTGTTTGAGAAAATTACTCCTAGATCTCTTTCAGATTCTGTTACGTTTAATTTTTGTTTATTGATATAAAGTGGTGTTTTTCTGTTATTAATCCCATAGTGCATGACCATACATTTAGAAATATTGAACTTTACAAACCACTTTTGAGTTCACTTAAAAGCTCTATCAAGATCTGCTTGCAAAGACACTGTTGATTCGTAGGAAATCATTTCATTCATTATTTTAGTGTCATCAGCGTACAGCATAGATATGTTTTTTAAGGTTTCAGGAAAATCGTTAATAAATAGCACAAACAAAAGTGGTCCAATTACGGACCCCTGTGGCACACCGCTGATAATTTCTGCCCAAGAAGATAAGTTTTCGCCTAGCACAACTTTTTGTTTTCTATTTTTCAGAAAAGCTTCAATCCATTTAATTGTTAGACCAGATATTCCATAAGCTGCTAGTTTTAGTAACAGCCTTTTATGGGGCACTGTGTCAAATACCCTAGCAAAATCTAAAAAATAACATCAACAGGTTTACCATTTTCTAAACTGGTGGAAATAAAATCTAGCGTGTCAAGTAGATTTGTTGTGCATGATTTACTTTTAACAAAACTGTGCTCCTGCTTGACTATGAGTTTATACTCATTCAGAAAAATTTCAAGTTTACATCTCATTATACCTTCCATTATTTTACAAGCAATTGAGGTGAGTGATATCGGTCGGTAGTTTACTGCTAAGGTTTTTTCACCTTTTTTGTACAGAGGAGTAATATTTGCTGATCTGAATTGCTCTGGCAATTTGCTAGTTTCAAACGATTCTTTAAAAATATATGTAAGTGGAATAGCAAATGCTAATGCACAGTTTGTTAAAATAGCTGAATGTAAGTTATCAACACCACTTGATTTGTTTTCTTTCAAGTTTTTTAATCTTAAAAAGACATCTTCATATTTAAAATCTTCTGTTGTCATAATAAACGTTTTATTTGTTCTTATCTGAAAGTAAGGCAAATGCTGCTTGAAAGTTTTTGTTTAAAATATCCACAACATATTTTGGATTTTGAGTGGTTTCACCATCCGTTCCATTTAATGCTTTGATTGAATCTCTGACTGCTCGTTGATTGTTTATGTAGCTGTACAGGAGCTTTGGATTCTTGGCAGCTCTTTTTACCAGATCATATTCAAAGTTTTGTCGAACTTTTTTGATCTCATGCTCTACATTTTTGCAAATCATTTTGTTTTCAAATTTTAGAACAGGGTCTTTCCATTTACACAAGCAATTTTTGTATCTTAAATTTTGCTTGCTTCTGATAAGAAGTTTTAAACTGGCATTTACCCAGGCTGGTCTGATTTTTAGAGAGTTGATTGTCATTTTAGTAAGAATAAAATGATTACATGCACTTCTGTGTAATAAATAAGTTCATCAAACATTTCCTGAATGTTTTCATTTCTAAAGCATCTTATACAGTCAGCATTTGAAATTAGATCAGATATTTTGTCAAACTTAGATTAGGCAAACATAAATCTTTGCTTGCTTTTATAGTCACTGACTGCTTTATCAGCTAAGATAAAATCAAAACATGTTGTTAAATGACTTCTCTTTATATTTCCCAGAACAAACTTTGAGTCTATTAAACTAACACTTGCTGACTGAGTTGTGAAAACTAAATCTAAGGTATTTAAAAATTGATTGTCTGACAGCTGGAAAGTTGGTATGTTGATATGCTGGTAAAAGATATTTTTATTTAAAATATCTGAAAGTTTGTGTTCCATTTTATTCTCATTTGAAATTACATCTACACAGCCATTTGCCCAGCTAATAGATGGAAAATTGAAGTCACCCATATTAGAAAATCTTTGAACTTATTTTTAACAATAAACTCACATGCATGACTGAATACCACATGAAATTCTGACATGTCTAAAAAATCATTTGGCCTGTAGATGCAGCCAAGCAGATACTTGTCTTTACCAAAGTAAACTACTGCCCACACTTGTTCAAGTTTGCAAAGGTTTAGACCTGCATCATTTAGTTCATATGAGTCTATTAAATTGTCTATATATAAACACACTCCACCGCCTTGTCTGCCATCTAATCTATCTTTTCTATACAAATGAAAACCCTCAACATTTACCACTAAATTGTTATTGAACCAAGTCTCAGTCACAGCAACTACATTTGGTTTGTATTGTTCGATCACAACTTTAAATTCATTTAATTTGTTATCGAGAGAGGTAGCATTTAAATATAAGCATGACAGCTTTTCAACTTCAATACCATCTGAAACCAAATCTTGATGAAACTTATTGATTTGATTTCTTTTTAATTTTGACAATTTGATTACCACGGATGCCATACCAAAAGGGATCATTGTCTGTTCTTGCTTGATTCATTTTATTTCTTTCAGTTCTAAGATTGAAATCTTGTAACCTTTGTGCTTCTGTTTGGACTAAGATAACAATTTTTATGTAGCTCATTACTTCTCAATTTCTTAGCTGATCCTAAAATTTTATTGCGAAGAAAATCCTCAGTTAATTCAACTAGAATTGGGCCTGGTTTATCAGTTTTAGATCTCAACCGTCTAATAAATTTTGGTATAACATTCTCTTGATCTATAATTTTAAAAATTTCTTTTACTTTTGACTCATCGTCTTTTGATTTCATTTCAATGTTTTCATTAGCAGATTCAGCTACACCACAAATAATAACATTTTTTGCTCTTCTCTTTCTCTCCTCTAATTCATTAATGGCTACATTTGTTGCTACTAGTTGTTCTGTTGGCTTCTTTTTTTGTTTACCCTGTTTAACAATAAGAGACCAATCACAGATAGACTTGCTTGAATTAGCTGCTATGATTATTTCTGTTTTTAAATTTTGAATGTTGCTGTCATTTTCAATCTTAGTTGTTTCTAGTTTTTGCAATCGTTCAAAGAGTTCCAAAAAAGCATGTGAAAGCTGGCTACACCAATTATAAATATCTTTAGTTGATTGCGAATGTGAACCAGCACCCAGTTTCGACCAGTTGTCTTGTTTAAGAAAATCCAAATTCATTTTTATAATTGATTATTCTTACTCTCTTAATAAGAGGGCTACTACCCTAAACAGTGGATTACCTCCTGTCTGAAACTGTAAGCTGAGAGGGCTACCACCCTAAATAACAGTGGGTTACCTCTCATAGTGAATTGAATATTGTACCTTATTAACACAAATACTGAAAATAGTTTAGATGTGTTTTTTTTTCCGTTGTTAAACAATGTCTACAAAAATCAAAATGTCAATGTCACAGGGATTACTAAATATTTCTAGAGCAGAATCATAAATGTTACATTTTCTAACATATTCAAAAATCTGATGAGAAAGAAAGTTAGTTAAAATTCTAAGTTTGTTGATGTTTTTTTCTAAAAAATATTTAAAAGTTCTAAATCAAAGTTTAAATATTTGGTTACTTAATGATTTGTTTGTGTTTTGAATTATGCAGGTTAATTATGCAGGTTATAATTATGCAGGTTGTAGAGCATTGCTGTAATGTTACAAAATGATTAAAAAATTGTTCTGAACTTGAAGAATATATGTAAATAGTTTTATAATAAGTAGTTTTTGGCTTTTTAATTTTTTATTATCTAAAACAATTAGAAGAAATATTAGTAAAACAACAACAATACTAATGTTCAATATCATCACAACTTAATTTTATCATGAAGACTTTGTTTGAAGACCACTAGTTGTGAAGTTAATTTTTTCTAACTTTTATTTAAAAAAATATTTTTTTACGTTAGGAAAGTCATCATAGTAGATTTAATAGAGTTCAAATATGAATCTCGACTCGATTTAGAATTTTAAATAGGAAGTTTTAATTTTATATGCAGTTGGGAATACCACACATACCATGCTCTTTAAGTCTTGCTAACACCATGCTCTTTATAATAGAGGCAGTTCTTGCTAAGCGGCTGCAAATCTTTGAAATTAGACTCAATAGGAGATTTCATATGTTTATGTGCTCATTATTAATATAGTTCTATTATAAATATATAATAAATATAGTTCTAAGATTAAATTTTTTCAAATTTAACTCATGATAATAATGATGATGGCAATTATAATGAAGCTTAATGATTGCATATTTTTGTTTTAGGTATTTAATGAGTCTTCTGGAAACTGTCCAAATCGCATGTTGCGACAAGAAGTTGATATTTTAAAGCGTCTTCATCATCCCTGTCTTATTTCATTTTTTGGAGTGAGTCTGCGTCCTCGGGCTCTTCTACTAGAATATAGTCCTTTAGGGAACTTAGCAGATTTTATAGCATCACAAAAGATTTCAAAAAACAAAAGTTTAAAACATAAAATAGCTTTGCAGGTGGAGTTTTTTATTTAGAATTGAAGTCTCTGATATTGTGGAATACTTTTTTTCTAAAAAAAAAAAAAACTTATAAAAATATGTTATTTTTTAGATAGCAGAAGGTCTGGCTTTTATTCACAAACATAACATTGTATATCGAGATTTGAAACCAAGCAATATTCTTGTGTTTTCATATTCATTAAGTGTACCTGTTAATGTTAAACTCTCTGATTATGGCATATCTCAACATAGAACATATCAGGGTTTAATTGCTAATAGAGGAACACCTACATATCAAGCTCCTGAAGTTGGATGTGAAGGTAGTGAGTATAGCATTGAGGTAATGAAAGTCATAACTGGAAGCTCTTATATTTAAAATATTAAATTTATTATATTTAAAATTCTTAAAAACAATTGCAATCAAGACTACTTGCTGCGAATATTAAATACTGAGGATCTGTAATTTGTAAAAATTTAATTAGCAGATTGTACTTTATAAACTGACAGGTTTTATTTGTTTAAATAAATGTAACTTTATTTTTGACAATATTTGTATTTAACAATAGACTTATAAATGGAAAAATTTATAAGTTTTTTGAATGTAAAACTTTATTTTAGGTTGACATTTTATCCTATGGTGTTACAATATATGAGCTTATTTCTAATGGTCAAAAACCATTCAGAGATTTAAATTATCAGAATGAGTTTGAAGATGCTGTTTTAAATGACAAGCCTATTGACTCTTTAATTTCTCATGGTGTTGCGCCTTGGCCTGATATTGAAGATCTTATAAAGAATTGTCTTCGAAAAAATCCAGGTTTCAGTAAATAACAGTAAAGTTGATGCATTTTATGCATAACTTTCTTTTATTATTGTTTTTTGTTTATTTTTAGAGGAGAGACCAAAAGCTGAAACCATTGTGAATGCACTTATAAATATTGATCTTTTGTGTTTAAAGAAACATGTTACAGTTTGCAAAGGACAATATGTTGATTGTCTTACAATCTGTACTTATTTTGATTCAAAAGTTGAACATAATGAGGTTTGGGCTGCTAGTGGTGGATGTGGATTGAACAGCCAGTTGTCATGGTTTTCTATTATGCAGGCAAAAAAACAAGTACTTTAAACTGTTTGTTAAATATTACATATGATTTATTTAATAATTATTTTTTTAATATTGTTGCTAATGTAATAATATTTATAATTGCAATAATAATAATGATAATTATAAAATAATGATAATAAATTAATAAGTTATATATATTTTAATAAATGAAGTATCAGCTTCAAAAAATTATGACTCCAATTTTTTTAAAGTACCTTGTATAAAACCATTTGTAGAAATAAAATTTTGTTAAAATCCCTTTAACATTTTTGTTTTCTTTTATACTTGTGATCTTTTTTATTATGTCAAGTTATTATCATAAGACAACCTTTCCAATTTTGTTTTTCCTTTTGTAAGTTTATTCAAACCATAAAACATAGTGTAAATACAAATACAATTAGCAAGAAGAAGTATTAAGGATTAAGAAAGATTTTTTCTTATTACCAAGCCTCTTAATCTATACCATAAATTTTTAATAATAAGAAATTGTAACTATATAATATAAAACATTTTAATAAAAAATTACAAATTCTACTTTCTAAATCTAAACTAGTCACTAGTTTAGATTTAGAAAGTAGAATTTGTGATTTTTTTGTTAAAATGCTTATTTAAAGTTTTTAGCTTGTGGTTTTTTTATTATTAAAAAAAGCTTTATATACATATTAGATGATTTTTTTCCAGCCAATTGACTAGTAGTTGATTATTTCTCTACCAAATTGTAGAAGGTTCTATACATTTTATACACTCTTTTAAAGCATTCGATCATTAAATTTGGAACAATAAAAAATATAAAAAAAATAAAAATAATAATTAAATTAATACAAAAACTTCAATGTTAATTTTATTCTAAGGAACTTGAAAATTATTAAAATGCTTTTTATTTTAATACTTTTCATTATTTCGAATAAATAAGAGAACATTTATGCTAATCGACGACATCAGTTTCTGCATTGTTTTTGGAAATTTTTTTATTTTTTTGTTTTTTAATTTAATGTCCACTCTCTAATTAAATCTTTATCTGTGCTTATTGTTTTCTTACGCAAATATCCTTTGCCAATTTCCCAAAATATCTTAATGGAGTAGAACTGTGGGCAATATGGTGGATTCAAGCTTTTTGGTGTGAATTTGATGTCTCTCGAATTGTACCACTCTATGGTATTCTTAGAATAATGACAAGAAGCAAGAACCAGAACCAGCAAGAGACATTGTGGGCCAGAAAGCCAGAACCAACAGGGAACATTGTGACTTTGATAAAATGGAAAAAGTCTAGCTTGGAAGCATTCCTTGATGTAAACATCTTGGTTTAAAGTTGGCAATGTGACGTTCAAGATCTCAAACTGTAGCTGTATATTGCTTGCCACAAGAGAAGTTTTTTACCAAATTTATCTATGATTTATACTTGAACTTGTTGCTGGCATATCTGATAGGTTTGGATATTTATAGTTTAAAAAATTTCTTAATTTTTCTGATGAAAAACTCTGAAACTTTATAACTTTTGGCGCATTCTATGTTTGATAAGCCGGGATTTTGCATTTAATAATTGTCCAATATTAACTGCTGCTCACTTTACTAAAGCCACACCTTCTTTCAGATTCTTTTGCTAAAATTTGTAGAAATAAAATATATTTCGCAGATGCTAAAACCTTCTTGATGCAAAGCAATGATGCATGCACGCTTCCTAGGTGTATGTTCAGGCCAACGTCAACTCATTTATATGCAAATACAGTATCTAATAATTTGGTAAAAAAAAATTTTGTTTACAACTTGTGGTTGTTGATTATTGTGTACAACGGAAATAGAAATTTCCGTTGTACAAAACAAACATTTTTTTTAAATTTTTTTAAATGTTTTACAGTTGGGAAGACCCCCCACCCTTCCTTCTCCTCTGCTGTAAAATTTCAATAGATTAAAATAAAACAAAAAAGCTTTTTGTTATTTTACATTATTTAGCTTTTACTTAAAAGACATGCAATTTAAATGAGCATTAAATTACAGACAGATGTGTAAAAGACAAACTTTTGGTACAATTTTTGGTGACCTTCTCTTTTCACACCCGCATATATATTTTGTAGACGCCCCCTTTAGTAGGTGTATATGATAAGAAAGATCAGAAAATTTGTGCATCTTTGAGGTTCAGAATGGTAAAATTAATTGGTTGAGAAAATTTTAGTTAGATCTTGATGTAACATGTCTGAAAATAATAATGAACCATTTTTCTGACAGGTCTAGATCTAAGTGGTTTTGGGTTTAAAAAAACAAGATTTCAAATGCGTAGAGGTGGCCGTTTTAAACCCATTGTAAACAATAAAAACAATTTTAATGAAATCAGTAAAAACCGCTTTAAGTATTTGATAAAATTTCGCATCTCTAATTTATGTTCAAAGTTTAGCTGAGTATCATTTAAAACTTAAAAAGTAAATGCTTTAACAAATTTAAAAATTTAACATATATTAATTTAATGACTATTAATAAAACATATTAAAAAAAACTTTTCTAAAAAAACATTGTTTCCTGTTTAACTTACTAAACATAGAAATTTAAAATGAACTACTTTTATCTTTTTTAACTATATGTGTGTGTAGCCAATAATTTTTCTATCAGGAAGTGCAAGGTACAATGACAAAAATTGGACGAATTCTTTGTATAATGTCATATATGCATTTTATTATTGTTGGAACGAAGGAACGTCGTGTAGCTTTATATGACGCGAAGGCAAAGTGTTTTAAACATAAGTTAGCGCAATTCTCTGATTCTATATTGTGCATATTACATACTCATGGTTTTGATTTGTTTTTATTTGGACTAGCAGATGGGAATATTGCAGTACTTACTTCTATTGGTATTTTAAAACCAGGTATAAATATTTATTTGTTATTTTTATCTTATTACCAATGGTGATTTTTTGATGTTTCAAATAAGGCACTATCATGTATTCTGCAAACTCCAAACCAAATTCGAATGTTATAGCCATATAAATTTGAAAACCCCCTCATTTTGGGGAGGGTGGAAACTTTATAACTTCACATAACTTCAACTTTTCATAAAGGTTCATAACTTTTAAACATTAAAATATTATTTAAAGAAATTTAAAATTTGTTGATAAAATTAAATTTAGTGTAAAAAGTTAAAAAAAATAATTGAATAACTCATTTAGGATGATGTTGGGGTGAGAAGAGGGGTGACTTTTTTGGGAACTTTAGTGCCCAAGCTTCAATCACTGCGATTTTTTACTGTCAAAAAGGTCGTTTTGTTTATTTATTTATATACTTTTGAAAAAACCTTCTCATTTGACATAACTATGAACATACTTAAATTTGGAGTTTGCATAATGAATCAAAGAATATTTAAAATATTAAAAAATCCCGTAGTTAGGATTCTTGCTAAACAATTGCCATTTTGTTGCAAAACAACTCAATTTTTTTCTATCGTGTTTTTTAATTTAAAGCCTTTGTTATTTTTCGCTATAAAAACGGTTTTTTTTTGCAAAAAAAATACGAACCATAAAATAGACTCACACCTCTATTACTACGTCACTGCTTATTAAACAATACATTTATTAGTATGTTATATACTTTTAGACGGAAGTCCTCGATACATATCTCTAAACGATGGAATAAGTCAAAATCCAATTATCTGCATTACTCAAAGTCAAGACCAGCTTATATGTGGCTATGGTAAAGATATTAAAGTAATTAATTCTTCTTCTTTTGATTTGTTGCAAACAGTTTCTGTTACAGAGCGAAATGTAAACGCTGTGTCTTCTATAATTATTTCTCAGAATCGCTTAATTGTAAGTTCAAAAAAAAGTTGCAGACTTAATGTTTTTAAATATACAGATAATAGAGTTGATGAATCTGTTTTGTTTGCATTTGATTGTTCGGAGTTTTTAAAAAAGGTTTATCCTAATATTATCGAAAGCGATTGTCGCGTAGTTACCTTAGAGTTAGTGGACAATTCGTCCTTATGGATTGGTTGCGGTGGAGGTCATGTAATTATTGTTAACGTTTTAAAGTCCTTATTTCAAACTGCTACTATTATATCGAGACACTTGGGTGCTGTACGCTCAATCATTTCGACACCAAAAATTAGCGGAGAATCAGTGTCTGTAATAACAGGTGGTCAAGGGTTTCGACCACTATTAGCTAATAACAATGATGTTGAAGAATTTGGTTTTGTTTTAATATGGGACGCCGACATTTTAAAATTAAAAAAGCATTTAATGGCACAGAGAAAAAATCGCGATGAATTGCTTACTAAACTCTCAGTTAAAACAGAAAAGTTTGCCTTTCCCTTACTGTGATCGTTTTTTAATTAAAAATTGTTTTTAAATTTGTTGCGTTAAAAACAAGTTTCTCTGCAGTTTATATGTAAATATAGTAATAAAATATTGTAAATAAAAATGTGTAAATAAGTTGTAATATGTTTATTAATTTTTAGGAGCATCTTTAAGGACAGAGGCTCTGGTTGAGAGTTTACAAAATCTATTTGTGAATAGTGAATACACTGTTGAAAATCTTGAACATAAAAAAGTCGTTTATTCAATTTTTATTTAGAATTGTTTATTTATAGACTATGAATTATTTATTTATGTTTTTATGAAAACACAGTAACGATAAATATAAGGAAAATTACTGAAATAAATTCCAAAATTTATTTAGTTTTTTGAGATTTTTTAAATACTTAACAATTTTGAATACTTTTATATATTATCAAATAAGGCAAGTTGGCTCGTACAGCTAAATAACCTTGGATTGTATTACAACGATTTTCCAAAATAGTTGCAATATAATGCAGTATTATTTTTTATGTATTAAACATTTTAATACACAAAAAAAAACAAGCTAAAGCAACAAAAAAAAAAAAAAAAGGACTTTACGAAGTCGGCAAGCATATTTTGAAACCCTATACAGACTCAGAATAGGCAGAGATATGCGCAATCTGATTCGTTGATTTTAAAAGAGAGGGTTTAGCGCATATGTTTAAATCAGGTAAGGGCAACCTTTGACATGGTGCGGGCCAAACTTTAGTGTGCAAATACTTTCGCTGGCTACGTTTAAAAGTACTGCATTTTAAAGTAGTACTTTAATGAAGTCATAATTTTTAACGATATATATCAGACATGGAATAATAAGATATTGCTATTGTAATGCAATTTATTCAAATAATAAAATTAAATGAATAAAATAGATTCAACATAATAATTAAAATAGCGATGCTGAAACCAATGAGACACTTGAATGAAAAAAATGGCTAAAAGTTTAACAATCACGCAAGTGAAAGAACTATTAGAAGCCCATGAAAATACTTTGTTAAAAATCAAGAGAGAAAATTGACAAACTTGAAGAGAAAATAGAACAATTAAAAAACGAAAACAAATCGCTAAAAAATGAAATTGCTTCAATAAACAACGGAATAAGCTTTCAAAACGAATTTTACGAAAAAACCATAAAGGAGACGAACGATCTTAATGAAAAACTAAAAAATCAGATCAAAGAAAATGAAAACAAAAATTCAAGCGAAATTTTTGTAGACAAAATTCTGAATCAGAAGATCGCAGCAGGAGAAACAACTTGCGGTTCGACGGTTTTGAAGAAAAAGAAAACGAAACGTGGGAAGAAAGCGAGTTGAAGGTAAAATATTTTATTAAGGTGGTTAGCTGGTAAAAAAACTATTTTTTTAAATATTTGTTGTTTGATACTGAAATAAATACATACAACAACCATCATAAAAATAAATATTTAAAACAAAAAAAAAAATTAAAAAAGTTAATTATTTTTTGATGTCAGCAAAAATTCAAAAAATTAACTAAAAAGCAAAACATGATTATTTGAAGATCTACAACTGGTATCAGTATGAAATTTGCTACAGTAAGACAATATATGCTTAACTAGTGCCTAAAGCAAAAGTTTTCAAAACTGATTAACTGTTCAAAAATGGCGGAGATTCTTTTAATTTTTATTTTTTTCGATAAATAGTTCAGTGATTAGTGATTGATATCTCATTAAGTCTTTAAGTATATAGCTTTATTCTGCTTTAGGCACTAGTACAGTATATTTTAAACAAGTGTTGAAAATTTCAAGATAAAAACTCTACTAGATCTTTAGAAATCTATGTTTTCGTTAACCCACAAAAAGAATTCTGGAAACCAAGAAAACAAAACATAAAGAAAAAAATTTCAAAAATTTCCAAGTTTGTATGATTCCTCTCCTTCTAGTTCTTTTTCTTTGTCCAAATAACCTTTTCTGACAGCTTTAATCAACTTTCTTCTATTTATTCCCTCTTTTGTTGATTTTTTGTTCATATTTTGAATCCGTTGAGTGTCTTTTTTGATTGAACCGATTATTGTTTTTGCTCCAAAAGATATTCCAATCTTATCAAAAAGTTGCACTAGTCCAGATATACCATCATTAAAATTTATCATTGCAGATGTAACTCCAATTTCTAAAGTGGTTTTTGAAATAAATGTATCTTTTGGACACCTTTTCCACACAATTTGATTCAGAGCCTCATTTGGGTTTTGAGTAGATCCATCTAAACAGCGACTCAAAAGATCATCATTACATAAATCCTTAAAAATAGGATAAATTGCTGTTTTTACTGTAATTGGTAAACTAACTGATGGCTTGTACTGCATAACATTTTTCCAATAATTACACCAACTATCATCAGTGCGGGGACAAAACTGGTGACGTATTTCAGGATCTTCAATACCTGTACAGTGCCACAACACTGCCAGCACTCCTTTTTTCATCATGTACAAAGCAGTACTTTTGTTACCATTCCAACAAGCTACAGAATTTTGGCGAATAGCCATGCCAAAATAGTTTTGCATTTTATTGACTATTTTATCAGTTAATCTTCCTTTACCACTCAGTCCTTTGCCATCTGATAAGGTTTTACCTTTCATGCTAACACGAAGTTTGCGGAGTCGTGTACCGAGTCTCTTTTGAACATGACCCACACATTCAGATTTTATTGGTTCTAAATCTTCACCATATGGCTTTGATTCTTTTACTTTTTTAAAAGATTCAGTATCACCATCACCAATGTAATGGGAGTAGCGAATACAATATTTTTCAACAGATGAAGTAAATATTTCTATCGCACCAGCAGATTCCATTGCTCCTGAACTTTGGGCATGGTTCAACTTACATTTATGTGTTTTGAACCATTTATCGTGTTCAGTAGTTCCTTTTCGATTTTCCCAATTTAAACATGCTTTACAAAACTTTGAAAAAACCTTGTAATCAATTACTTTTTTGTTTTCTGTTGAAATAGCAGTAACAATGCCATTAAGTGAACAATGGCCACGCTTTTGCCATGAACCATCTAAACTTATTCGACAATCAACAATGTCAGTTTTGATATTATCAGGTTTTAATGTACACCTTAAATCTTTAACTGCATTCTCCATACTAGTAACAGCACAGCCAATATAAAAAGGTAAAAGAAATGTATTAATATCATCATATGATGAATGAACTATTGGTGCAGGCATATTCATAATGGTTGCAAAAGTTTTTAGTGCTTCATGTCCTTTTCCCAGTTCACGAAACGCAATTACTGATCTTACATTTACTTCAGATGATTTTTTACGACGATTATCTTTTCCTGGAAGTTGAATGTCAGGAGAATTTATGAATCCAGCTACAGTTAGGACAAGTAAATTGAAACTGAATGTTAAATCCTTTTTTTTCGGAATCTTTATGACAAACATTTATATCTCTGCTGTTGCAAGTGGGACATGCACAAACTTTACTCAATAGCTGCTTGAATTTGTTAAAGTTAAAAAGAAAAAAGAAGTCATGAGGGTCAGAATTAATAACTGAGAGTTTGTTTATTGATTCATTCAATTTTGAAGAACTAGTAGATGGATTAGATTCTCCTTCGGTAAAAAAAAAAACTTGACAAGGTTCATTATTGATATTTGATTCTGCTGAAAGAATATTATTCTTTAAGGTTGTATATTGATTTTTTGAATTAATTCTTCTTCTTCTATTCCTGACTACGTTCCTTTTATTTGCCATTCAAAATAAGAGCAATAAAATAAAAAAGCGTTGTAAAGAAAACTGTGTAAAGCACTGCTAAATTTTATATCTGAATGCCTCTGTAAAACTGTTCTTTTAATCTATAACTTTTGAGAGTCTCCACCACACTGCTTTTTAAAAGCAGAAAAAAAGGACATACAGGCTTGTAGTCATCTTATGTAAATATAAATATAGTAATAAAGAAAGATTGTCGATTTCAATTATTTTGTGCCGCAAAATTTTCTGTATTAAAATTTTTACCATGACCTAAAAAAACTGGTTTTTAATTAAAAAAAAAAAAAAAAAAAGCACTATACCCATATATAATTTTGAAATCTATGATAAATTTTAAATACAAATCAATAAAATAAAAAAAAATGAATTTTTATGTTTTTTTTACCAGCTTACCACCTTAAAGAAAAACTAAATATAAAACATGATATTCAAATAGAAAGAGCCCACAGAACTGGGAAAAAAAACGAATCTGGACAAAAAAAAGCGACGAACAATAGTTGTAAAGTTCCTAAACTATAAAGACAAAGAGAAAATATTAAATCACTATAAACGACTAAAGCTTTGGAATGAACGCATATATCTAAACGACGACTACAGCGAAAGAACGATTGAAAAAAGAAAAATTCTCTTTGCAAAAGCTAAAGAAATACGATCCTCAAGTAAGTATGCAAAAGTAGTCTATAACAAATTGTTAACGCGCGATTAATAATTACAATAACAAAAAGAAATTTTTTAAACCAGTGCACATGAAAAATAATTACAAAAATGAATGCCTTTTAATCGCTAACCTATAAATTTAACAAAAAATACTTTATATCAGATAAAAACGCAGACCCAGATGTAAATTTTTTAAGTGATATGTACACGGACAGTTTATATCATTACCCCAGCGCAATAAAAGAAATTCTTTTTAAAAATGTTAACAGTGCCGTGGCTAGTGGCTTTAGAGCCCCCCCCCAAACATTCCATTAGGGCCCCAAAGTTTTTTTAAATGCGTTTAAATTGACACTTTTTTTTTTCAAAAAGCGCAAGGCGTATCTTTTATAATGCACCGAACATATTTTTAAGTAGTCGTTCACGAGAAAAAAAAAACAATAAAATTAACCCTTTAATTTAATTAAGTATATTTTATAATTGTTATATTTATTAAGAGTTTAAAACAAAAAGTTTCTTTGACTACTGTGAATGTATTAGGCATTCACAGATCAAAAAAAAGGTTTGCGTCGTGTTTTCATACTTGCAAACTTATTTATTAAGCCTTCGTAACTTAATTTCCTTGCCGCCTCGTTCTCGATTGACAGCATTGCTAGGGAAGACAAACGTTCATTGTTGACCTACATAAAGATACAAAGAAATATAGTTATATGTGTTTACGTATAAGGAAGTAAGAGTATTTATACTGACCTATGAAAAGTTTTAATTAATTTTAACTTGCTAAAGCTACGTTCTGCACTTGCAACAGTTACTGGAGAAGTAAGAATGATGCGTAACGCAATAACTAGATTAGGATAAGTTTCCTGCAGCTCTTCTTTGTAGACGTAGTTAAGGAAGTCATATGCAGATTTCAGGTTTGTATTTTTGTCCTCTTGTACAACTATGACAAATCGTTTCAACT